GTCATATATAGGATTCTGGCTTCTCAGCTAGCGCACTTTTGACAGGTCAAGATGAGGAAGGAAGATTATGTGCACCAGTTACTGGGTGATAGAAGCTACCTCAAAGAGGATAATTTGGTGTCTACACTCTAGTTATACCTGGTGGACTAACCTGCTGTACTATAAGAGAAGGAACCTCATCAATGTATGTAGCTATTACTGTAGTTTGATTGGCTGCATATATATTAATTTAATAAACCCCCCCTAATGTGTAGAGGATCGATTTGTGAGATTGAGATTATTGCAGAAATACAGTCCACTTATCATTATACAAATTGCTATCGAAGTATATAAATTAACGTAAATATAAATTCATATAAATTAAATAAATATAAATCTCACAGGTCGGTTCCCACAGTATGAGGTACTATGAGCTCTGTAATTACTTCATACACTCAGGAATATTGGAAAATATTCTTGTGCTGTACCCAGATTATGCCAGTGGAGGCTAATAGATCAGCCTTACATTTCTTATTCTCTCCTGATTCCATGTATGACTGGCTGTCCTGTGAGGTGGGGATATTGGATGAGCTTGTAGCCGGTTTTTGATCTACACTGTGTAGTCCTTCATACAGAATAGGGAAGCAGCACATTGCTGTGTATACCTAAGCATGTTAAAAAAATACATTGATTGAGAGGAGTCATGTAGAAACTGGTAAAAGTAACTATAATATAATGTTTCCTTGATTCAGTGCTTACCTCTTGTGAAAATCATGAAGTTGTTGTTTAGTCAGAGTTGATTAGATTTTTGTATTGAAGCTGGTATTTTCTCCCTTGATTCCATGAATGCCTAACCATACTGTGAGATGGGAGTATTAGATGAACTTATAGCTACTTTTTTATCTACACTGTGTAATCTTCCATATAGAATAGGGTAGTAGCACAGTGCTGTGTATACCTAAGCTTCTTAATAAAAAATTCAGTAACGCAGATTTTAAATTATATTTTGTATTATTACCAGTATAATCCTTGTTAAATCAGGTTAACCATGGATCATTAAGTTCTCATGTTGATATGTAATAGTCATATTGCTTTTGAATCATTCATTAAATTGTGCATTGTCTCAATTTATCACTTTGGATATAGGATTTCATCTTTGATATACTGTAGAGTACAAAAAGATATGATAAAAATAAACAAGTAATATTTCTTTCATTATATTTTTATTTAAATAACTGCATCACTATTTTTACAGCTAACAGGAATTCTTTTACTCACCGGTTCATTATTTGTTAAAAAAAATTGGTTTAGTGTTACACACAATGGGGCTACATAGCCTTCCCAGCTTGGTGCCTTCTGTTGATAATTCCTTAGTTATTGTTACACACAACCAAATTGTGTAACAATAAGAGGTCTTGGAGCCCTGCTTCCCCCCCCCCCCCTTCTCTTTTTTAACAGGCGATAATAGTCCATATAATCATAATTATAGGCCTAAGTATTCAATGACAAAAGTTGAAGTTTTTACCCTTACCTAACATTTGTGAAGCATATTTTGCTTTCATGTCTCACCCAGATTTATTTTCAAAATAAAAACAAACAAAATAATTAAAAATGGGTATGTATAGCTAAAGTACGCCACCTAGCAATTCTTACTGCTAGGTGAACAGAGACATTTGGTGATAGTAAATGCTCCCACCATCATCTCTCATATTGAGAAGGATCATCACCTTCTCTCATATTTCATGTTCACCAGCGTTTATTTACTTAATAACTACTGGTTTAATATCTTGCTACTATAAAACTAATATAATATCATAAATACATATTTACTGCATGTTTCAAGCAGAAAATGCATATATAGTTAACACGAAGGAATCCTCTGGGCGAAACTCGCAAACTAAATTGTGTGTTTATATTAAAATCGATCCTCCGTGTTGTGTAGTAGAGAAAAATTGAGTTATATCTAGTTTACATAAAGCTACGAGTGGTCGAGGGCATCCTTAAATCGAGGCGGTGTACTTATTTTCCTCCAAAAATACGTACCTGAATACCGACGTTACCGCTACGAAGGTGTTATGAAGTAAAACATTCGTAAGTACGTTCGTAACTGGTTCATGAATCTGGCCCCTGGTCTCCCCGGGGGGATGCTGTTATCACTCCCCTAACATCTTGGTCTCCCCGGGGGATGCTGTTAGGTCTCTCCTAACTAACTGGTCTCCCGGGGGACTCTGTTAGCTCTCCCCTAACTACCTGTCCTCCCCGGGGGACTCTGTTATCACTGCTCTAACTACCTGGTCTCCCCGGGGGACGCTGTTATCTCTCCCCTAACTACCTGGTCTCCCCAAGGGACGCTGTTATCTCTCCCCTAACTACCTGGTCTCCCCGGGGAACACTGTTATCACTGCCCTAACTACCTAGTCTCCCCGAGGGACGCTGTTATCACTGCCCTAACTACCTGGTCTCCCCGAGGGACGCTGTTATCACTGCCCTAACTACCTGGTCTCCCCGGGGGACGCTGTTATCACTGCCCTAACTACCTGGTCTCCCCGGGGGACGCTGTTATCACTGCCCTAACTACCTGGTCTCCCCGAGGGACGCTGTTATCACTGCCCTAAGTACCTGGTCTCCCCGGGGGACGCTGTTATCACTGCCCTAACTACCTAGTCTCCCCGGGGGACGCTTTTATCACTGCCCTAACTACCTAGTCTCCCCGGGGGACGCTGTTATCACTGCCCTAACTACCTAGTCTCCCCGGGGGACGCTGTTATCACTCCCCTCACTACCTGGTCTCCCCGAGGGACGCTGTTATCACTGCCCTAACTACCTGGTCTCCCCGGGGGACGCTGTTATCACTCCCCTCACTACCTGGTCTCCCCGAGGGACGCTGTTATCACTGCCCTAACTACCTGGTCTCCCCGAGGGACGCTGTTATCTCTCCCCTTACTACCTAGTCTCCCCGAGGGACGCTGTTATCTCTCCCCTAACTACCTAGTCTCCCCGAGGGACGCTGTTATCTCTCCCCTAACTACCTGGTCTCCCCGGGGGACGCTGTTATCACTGCCCTCACTACCTGTCCTCATACTCAGACGTTTCATAATCTGATATTCATCAGTGAGATGATAACACCGGGGAGGTCACACTTCCCGTGACCGAGTGTGTCATCAGTCTTTGGGAGGAAAGTTACTTAATCCCAGGGTAAGTGTTCCCACCAGGAGCTGTCTCCGGCCCTTGTGTTGCGCGGTAGTCTAGACTCCTGAGCAAACCACACCATTCCTGGAGCCATTAGTGCCATATCATTCATGGATTAGACCCGCAAATGTTTCATGGGAGGCTGGCGTCCACTGTCACACACAAGGTCCAGTGGTAGTGGGGAGGGTGGTGGCACTAGTGTGGTAGTGGGGAGGGTGGTGGCACTAGGGTGGTAGTGGGGAGGGTGGTGGCACTAGGGTGGTAGTGGGGAGGGTGGTGGCACTAGTGTGGTAGTGGGGAGGGTGGTGGCACTAGGGTGGTAGTGGGGAGGGTGGTGGCACTAGGGTGGTAGTGGGGAAGGTGGTGGTACTAGGGTGGTAGTGGGGAGGGTGGTGGCACTAGGGTGGTAGTGGGGAGGGTGGTGGCACTAGGGTGGTAGTGGGGAGGGTGGTGGCACTAGTGTGGTAGTGGGGAGGGTGGTGGCACTAGTGTGGTAGTGGGGGGGGTGGTGGTACTAGTGTGGTAGTGGGGAGGGTGGTGGCACTAGTGTGGTAGTGGGGGGGGGGTGGTGGCACTAGTGTGGTAGTGGGGAGGGTGGTGGCACTAGTGTGGTAGTGGGGAGGGTGGTGGCACTAGGGTGGTAGTGGTGAGGGTGGTGGCACTAGGGTGGTAGTGGTGAGGGTGGTGGTACTAGTGTGGTAGTGGGGGAGGGTGGTGGTACTAGGGTGGTAGTGGGGAGGGTGGTGGTACTAGTGTGGTAGTGGGGAGGGTGGTGGCACTAGGGTGGTAGTGGGGGAGGGTGGTGGGGAGGGTGGTACTAGGGTGGTAGTGGGGAGGGTGGTGGCACTAGGGTGGTAGTGGGGAGGGTGGTGGCACTAGGGTGGTAGTGGTGAGGGTGGTGGCACTAGGGTGGTAGTGGGGAGGGTGGTGGCACTAGGGTGGTAGTGGTGAGGGTGGTGGCACTAGGGTGGTAGTGGTGAGGGTGGTGGTACTAGTGTGGTAGTGGGGAGGGTGGTGGTACTAGGGTGGTATTGGGGAGGGTGGTGGTACTAGTGTGATAGTGGGGAGGGTGGTGGCACTAGGGTGGTAGTGGGGAGGGTGGTGGCACTAGGGTGGTAGTGGGGAGGGTGGTGGTACTAGGGTGGTAGTGGGGAGGGTGGTGGCACTAGGGTGGTAGTGGGGAGGGTGGTGGCACTAGGGTGGTAGTGGGGAGGGTGGTGGCACTAGGGTGGTAGTGGTGAGGGTGGTGGCACTAGGGTGGTAGTGGGGAGGGGGGTGGCACTAGGGTGGTAGTGGTGAGGGTGGGGGCACTAGGGTGGTAGTGGGGAGGGTGGTGGCACTAGGGTGGTAGTGGGGAGGGTGGTGGCACTAGGGTGGTAGTGGGGAGGGTGGTGGTACTAGGGTGGTATTGGGGAGGGTGGTGACACTAGGGTGGTAGTGGGGAGGGTGGTGGCACTAGGGTGGTAGTGGGGAGGGTGGTGACACTAGGGTGGTAGTGGGGAGGGTGGTGGCACTAGGGTGGTAGTGGGGAAGGTGGTGGCACTAGGGTGGTAGTGGGGAGGGTGGTGGCACTAGGGTGGTAGTGGGGAAGGTGGTGGCACTAGGGTGGTAGTGGGGAAGGTGGTGGCACTAGGGTGGTAGTGGGGAGGGTGGTGGCACTAGGGTGGTGGTGGGGAGGGTGGTGGCACTAGGGTGGTAGTGGGGAGGGTGGTGGCACTAGGGTGGTAGGGATGGCTAGGTTCTAGTAGCAGTTGGTGGCATAAGGTAGTGGTGTCAGTAGGTGGTGGCAGGGGCGAGGAGGTGAGCGTGAAAGACTAAGATGCTGAGATGTTTTAGTGAGCAAGTGGTAGTTGTGAGCAAGTGGTAGTTGTGTGCAAGTGGTAGTTGTGAGCAAGTGGTAGTTGTGAGCAAGTGGTAGTTGTGAGCAAGTGGTAGTTGTGAGGAAGTGGTAGTTGTGTGCAAGTGGTAGTTGTGAGCAAGTGGTAGTTGTGAGCAAGTGGTAGTTGTGAGGAAGTGGTAGTTGTGTGCAAGTGGTAGTTGTGAGCAAGTGGTAGTTGTGAGCAAGTGGTAGTTGTGAGCAAGTGGTAGTTGTCAGCAAGTGGTAGTTGTGTGCAAGTGGTAGTTGTGAGCAAGTGGTAGTTGTGAGCAAGTGGTAGTTGTGAGCAAGTGGTAGTTGTGTGCAAGTGGTAGTTGTGAGCAAGTGGTAGTTGTGAGCAAGTGGTAGTTGTGTGCAAGTGGTAGTTGTGAGCAAGTGGTAGTTGTGAGCAAGTGGTAGTTGTGAGCAAGTGGTAGTTGTGTGCAAGTGGTAGTTGTGAGCAAGTGGTAGTTGTGAGCAAGTGGTAGTTGTGAGCAAGTGGTAGTTGTGAGGAAGTAGTAGTTGTGAGCAAGTGGTAGTTGTGAGGAAGTAGTAGTTGTGAGCAAGTGGTAGTTGTGAGGAAGTAGTAGTTGTGAGCAAGTGGTAGTTGTGAGGAAGTGGTAGTTGTGAGCAAGTGGTAGTTGTGAGGAAGTAGTAGTTGTGAGCAAGTGGTAGTTGTGAGGAAGTAGTAGTTGTGAGCAAGTGGTAGTTGTGAGCAAGTGGTAGTTGTGAGGAAGTAGTAGTTGTGAGCAAGTGGTAGTTGTGAGCAAGTGGTAGTTGTGAGCAAGTGGTAGTTGTGAGGAAGTAGTAGTTGTGAGCAAGTGGTAGTTGTGAGCAAGTAGTAGTTGTGAGCAAGTGGTAGTTGTGAGCAAGTGGTAGTTGTGAGCAAATAGTAGTTGTGAGCAAGTGGTAGTTGTGAGCAAGTGGTAGTTGTGAGCAAGTAGTAGTTGTGAGCAAGTGATAGTTGTGAGCAAGTGGTAGTTGTGAGCAAGTAGTAGTTGTGAGCAAGTGGTAGTTGTGAGCAAGTGGTAGTTGTGAGCAAGTGGTAGTTGTGAGCAAATGGTAGTTGTGAGGAAGTAGTAGTTGTGAGCAAGTGGTAGTTGTGAGCAAGTGGTAGTTGTGAGGAAGTAGTAGTTGTGAGCAAGTAGTAGTTGTGAGCAAGAGGTAGTTGTGAGGAAGTGGTAGTTGTGAGCAAGTGGTAGTTGTGAGCAAGTGGTAGTTGTGAGCAAGAGGTAGTTGTGAGCAAGTGGTAGTTGTGAGCAAGAGGTAGTTGTGAGGAAGTAGTAGTTGTGAGCAAGTGGTAGTTGTGAGCAAGTGGTAGTTGTGAGCAAGTGGTAGTTGTGAGGAAGTAGTAGTTGTGAGCAAGTGGTAGTTGTGAGCAAGTGGTAGTTGTGAGGAAGTAGTAGTTGTGAGCAAGTGGTAGTTGTGAGCAAGAGGTAGTTGTGAGGAAGTGGTAGTTGTGAGCAAGTGGTAGTTGTGAGCAAGTGGTAGTTGTGAGCAAGAGGTAGTTGTGAGCAAGTGGTAGTTGTGAGCAAGAGGTAGTTGTGAGGAAGTAGTAGTTGTGAGCAAGTGGTAGTTGTGAGCAAGTGGTAGTTGTGAGGAAGTAGTAGTTGTGAGCAAGTGGTAGTTGTGAGCAAGTGGTAGTTGTGAGCAAGTGGTAGTTGTGAGCAAGTGGTAGTTGTGAGCAAGTGGTAGTTGTGAGCAAGTGGTAGTTGTGAGCAAGTGGTAGTTGTGAGGAAGTGGTAGTTGTGAGGAAGTGGTAGTTGTGAGCAAGTGGTAGTTGTGAGCAAGTGGTAGTTGTGAGCAAGTGGTAGTTGTGAGCAAGTGGTAGTTGTGAGCAAGTGGTAGTTGTGAGCAAGTGGTAGTTGTGAGCAAGTGGTAGTTGTGAGCAAGTGGTAGTTGTGAGCAAGTGGTAGTTGTGAGCAAGTGGTAGTTGTGAGCAAGTGGTAGTTGTGAGCAAGTGGTAGTTGTGAGCAAGTGGTAGTTGTGAGCAAGTGGTAGTTGTGAGCAAGTGGTAGTTGTGAGCAAGTGGTAGTTGTGAGCAAGAGGTAGTTGTGAGCAAGTGGTAGTTGTGAGCAAGTGGTAGTTGTGAGCAAGTGGTAGTTGTGAGCAAGAGGTAGTTGTGAGCAAGTGGTAGTTGTGAGCAAGTGGTAGTTGTGAGCAAGTGGTAGTTGTGAGCAAGAGGTAGTTGTGAGCAAGTGGTAGTTGTGAGCAAGTGGTAGTTGTGAGCAAGTGGTAGTTGTGAGCAAGTGGTAGTTGTGAGCAAGTGGTAGTTGTGAGCAAGTGGTAGTTGTGAGCAAGTGGTAGTTGTGAGCAAGTGGTAGTTGTGAGCAAGTGGTAGTTGTGGGCAAGTGGTAGTTGTGAGCAAGTGGTAGTTGTGAGCAAGTGGTAGTTGTGAGCAAGTGGTAGTTGTGAGCAAGTGGTAGTTGTGAGCAAGTAGTAGTTGTGAGCAAGTAGTAGTTGTGAGCAAGTAGTAGGGGGCTGGGATTACGTTGTTAGAATATGAGGACGTTGTAGGGTTATGATCGAGTAGTAGGCTTTGTGAACAATTGGTAGGGTTGTGAGTAAGTTTTAAGATTTACAATAAAGTCTTAAGCCATATAATACCTTAGGTATTGTGTGTAACTCAGACTCATCAACAATGATTGCCTGTTGTGGTGTGTCCTGCTGGAGGACCTGGTCGCCTCCCCCGCTCCCAGGAGGCTCCTCTGGGGCTCTGACCTTGCCTACGTTTGTTCCTTCATGTATGTACAACAGTGTGGGACATCCTCTGTCCACACTCACCCTTCACAACACTGCCCCGATGGTCACTCTTCCTCCAAATGTTAGTATTGCTGTTGTGTCGCATACTTTAACACGATTATTTTCAAAAAGCTTGTCATCAGGTCATATTTTGCAGCTTTTCATCCCTTGCACGATACTTAGTATACTTGTGTGTAAGTATACGTTTAAAATTGTCTTTTTTACATAAGTTTCGTTACACATTTATTGGGAATTAACAGGGTTGATAAGGATAAACTGTTTAACACGTGTGGTACGCGGACAAGGGGACACAGGTGGAGACTGAGTACCCAAATGAGCCACAGAGACGTTAGAAAGAACTTTTTCAGTGTCAGAATTGTTAACAAGTGGAATGCATTAGGCAGTGATGTGGTGGAGGCTGACTCCATACACAGTTTCAAATGGAGATATGATAGAGTCCAGTAGGCTCAGGAACCTGTACACCAGTTGATTGACGGTTGAGAGGCGGGATCATAGAGTCAGAGCTCAACCCCCGGTAGCACAACTAGGTGACTACATTCTTAAACTCTAAAGCCATTATAACAGTGACTCTCTAAGGGATCCCGGTAATTATCTTAACTATTTTCACTGTTGTCAGCACAAGTGACATCTTGCAATGACTGTGGTCACTGCAAGATGTCACTGTCACTGTCAACAGTATCACGATACTGTTGATAGGTTTGGTGACTACTTGGAGATGTTTATATAAGGGATTAATGTGGCCTCAAATCTGGGAAAACACTGTCAGTGACCAGGATATGCCTGAGATACAGACATGGAGGAAACTCTCCAAAACTCTTCTTTGTTTCCGGGGGGGGGGGGGTAGGAGCAGAACCGACTTCTGGCAGTCGTGTGGAGAGGTGCAAGAAGATGGCGCCCCTGATCAATGGTCCCGCCCCTGATCAATGGTCCCGCCCCTGATCAATGGTCCCGCCCCTGATCAATGGTCCCGCCCCTGATCAATGGTCCCGCCCCTGATCAATGGTCCCGCCCCTGATCAATTACCCCCCCCCCCCCCTAAAGTTAGCGGGACTGCTGGCACAATAAACATGTGGTATCTATGATGTGAGAGAATTGTGTGATGGTGTTTTCATACGAACGTGTGAATGTAAGGCGCCGCAGAAGCCTGTTGGGCCGTGCGAGATGGGTCTAATATATTCCCAGCCACACTCACTCATATATTTACACATATTAAACATTCTCATGAAACCAGCGACCTCACCTCCATTATGTCTCCTGGTAATTGGTTGCGTCCATCAGAATGCATATTTCCTAGTTAGTGTTTACCGAGGTCTTATCTCATAAACGTTCCCCACAAACGTGTTTATATTTCATAAATGTCTGGCTCTATCAGCATTAAGAACCAACAGCTGCAGTTGCTGCCATATTTCTCTATTTAGTTTGTGATGAAGTGTGCGGTGTGTGACAACTCACTTGGCGTTGGTGGGCTTGTAGGTTATCTCGTACTTGAGGTTGTTGAGGTTGGGCCTCGTCCAGGTCACCAGCACGGAGGTCGGGGAGGTCCTCAACACTGTGATGTTGCCAGCACGGACCCGTGACGTCCCGCCCACACAACACAGCCGCAGCTCTGACGACACACAAGTAAACAATGCAGACTTCAGGTCACTATTACATGTGGTGTGGTGTCACGACAGGCAATACAAATTCATATAATAATCAAATAATACTCAAGAATAAGTATAACAAAATGCAGTATATAGTTTGTTAAAATATATTGCTATATAATAGAAAATAACGAAATGGAGCGGTCACGTTTTCTCCTCAATAATGTGTATAATGTATGTATTGTCAAGGGAATAAAATATATTTCTTTTGCACAACGGTAAGTATGTGAATCTCATTCAGCAACAGAATAGCGGCAAGTAATTATAACAAAATCAATAACGAATTAACAATAAGGCAAGAGGTAAGAACTTCCAGTCCTACCATTCCGTAGAGACTCCAACATAACCAAGTCAAAGAACTACAGAAATAACTAACTTCGAACTCTTCATCTTCAGCGTTTGGTGAGTTCTCGAGTAAGTTAAATAGAATACAGGTGTATAATTAACCTGCCCTCAGGCCTCCCACACTGCCCACCACCTGATGAGGACCCTTCAACGCTACAGATACAACTCAAAGACAAATCCATTTCTAGACATTAGAGGATGTATGAGGGAAGAAACTAAGCGTTGGTGGATGGCAACGAGTGCCATTAGCGAGGAGAGGTTTAGTTATTATATATTAAAAAACAAATGTGCACAGTAATAGTCTCTAAGGACATGGCATTGTAACCGGGACCACATAACCCAACTAGGCGCCCTGGCCCTGAGGTCGGTTACTAATTCAGGTCTGGCCGTCGAAGAGCTCTCGTAAACAATCGAACTGCTGAATAAAATGTAACGTTACATCCATGTCTACATAATAGAATGTCTGTATGTGTGAGTGTGCCTTTATGTATATGTGTCTGAGGTTGGAGGCAAGATGCTTGGGTCTGGCAGGTTTTCACTGCGATTGTTGTTGGGTATATGCACAACACAGCCGGGTCGGGTATGGTACAATTCCCTACGGAACCTCATGAACTTCTTGGTGACTCCGGGTCCTGTTCGATCTTTTAAATATTTCTAACAGCAAAATATAACAACCACTATTTATTCATATCACATTGTAGACATTAAGTATTGATATCTACAAAATAAAAAAAATATATATAAAATAAAAAGAAATTCTATCAAACTATGAATGTACCAGCAAAGATGTTTTTATGACTTCATCAGCACCTGGTTCTCACCCCCCCCTGACACCACACCCCGCCTCCTGCCCCCTGACACCACACCCCGCCTCCTGCCCCCTGACACCACACCCCGCCTCCTGCCCCCTGACACCACACCCCGCCTCCTGCCCCCTGACACCACACCCCGCCTCCTGCCCCCTGACACCACACCCCGCCTCCTGCCCCCTGACACCACACCCCGCCTCCTGCCCCCTGACACCGCACCCCGCCTCCTGCCCCCTGACACCACACCCCGCCTCCTGCCCCCTGACACCACACCCCGCCTCCTGCCCCCTGACACCACACCCCGCCTCCTGCCCCCTGACACCACACTCCGTCTCCTGCCCCCTGACACCACACCCCGCCTCCTGCCCCCTGACACCACACCCCGCCTCCTGCCCCCTGACACCGCACCCCGCCTCCTGCCCCCTGACACCGCACCCCGCCTCCTGCCCCCTGACACCACACCCCGCCTCCTGCCCCCTGACACCACACTCCGTCTCCTGCCCCCTGACACCACACCCCGCCTCCTGCCCCCTGACACCGCACCCCGCCTCCTGCCCCCTGACACCACACCCCGCCTCCTGCCCCCTGACACCACACTCCGTCTCCTGCCCCCTGACACCACACCCCGCCTCCTGCCCCCTGACACCGCACCCCGCCTCCTGCCCCCTGACACCACACCCCGCCTCCTGCCCCCTGACACCACACTCCGTCTCCTGCCCCCTGACACCACACCCCGCCTCCTGCCCCCTGACACCGCACCTCGCCTCCTGCCCCCTGACACCACACCCCGCCTCCTGCCCCCTGACACCACACCCCGCCTCCTGCCCCCTGACACCACACCCCGCCTCCTGCCCCCTGACACCACACCCCGCCTCCTGCCCCCTGACACCACACCCCGCCTCCTGCCCCCTGACACCACACCCCGCCTCCTGCCCCCTGACACCACACCCCGCCTCCTGCCCCCTGACACCACACCCCGCATCCTGCCGCCTGACACCACACCCCGCCTCCTGCCCCCTGACACCACACCCCCTCCTCCTGCCCCCTGACACCACACCCCGCCTCCTGCCCCCTGACATCACACCCCCGCCTCCTGCCCCCTGACACCACACCCCGCCTCCTGCCCCCTGACACCACACCCCGCCTCCTGCCCCCTGACACCACACCCCTTCCTCCTGCCGCCTGACACCACACCCCGCCTCCTGCCCCCTGACACCACACCCCGCCTCCTGCCCCCTGACACCACACCCCGCCTCCTGCCCCCTGACACCACACCCCGCCTCCTGCCGCCTGACACCACACCCCGCCTCCTGCCCCCAGACACCACACCCCGCCTCCTGCCCCCTGACACCACACCCCGCCTCCTGCCCCCTGACACCACACCCCGCCTCCTGCCCCCTGACACCACACCCCTTCCTCCTGTCCCACAAGACAGAACACGAAACAATGGGTATTGAATTGAAGTGATTGTAGAAAGCCTATTGGCCCATATTTCTTGATGCTTCTATATTGGATTGCGGTTGATTGCTGGTGTTGACTTCTTGATGTGTAGTGCCTCGCAGATGTCAAGCCGCCTGCTATCGCTGTATCTATCGATGATTTCTGTGTTGTTTGCTAAGATTTCTCTGGTGATGGTTTGTTTGTGGGAAGAGATTATATGTTCCTTAATGGAGCCCTGTTGCTTATGCATCGTTAAACGCCTGGAAAGAGATGTTGTTGTCTTGCCTATATACTGGGTTTTTTGAGGCTTACAGTCCTCAAGAGGGCATTTGAAGGCATAGACGACGTTGGTCTCTTTTAAAGCGTTTTGCTTTGTGTCTGGAGAGTTTCTCATGAGTAGGCTGGCCGTTTTTCTGGTTTTATAGTAAATCGTCAGTTGTATCTTCTGATTTTTGTCTGTAGGGATAACGTTTCTACTGACAATATCTTTCAGGACCCTTTCCTCCGTTTTATGGGCTGTGGGAAAGAAGTTCCTGTAAAATAGTCTAATAGGGGGTATAGGTGTTGTGTTAGTTGTCTCTTCAGAGGTTGCATGGCGTTTCACTTTCCTTCTTATGATGTCTTCCACGAAACCATTGGAGAAGCCGTTGTTGACTAGGACCTGCCTTACCCTACAGAGTTCTTCGTCGACTTGCTTCCATTCTGAGCTGTGGCTGAGGGCACGGTCGACATATGCGTTAACAACACTCCTCTTGTACCTGTCCGGGCAGTCACTGTTGGCATTCAGGCACATTCCTATGTTTGTTTCCTTAGTGTAGACTGCAGTGTGGAAAACTCCGCTCCTTTCCATTACTGTTACATCTAGAAAGGGCAGCTTCCCATCCTTCTCCATCTCGTAAGTGAAACGCAACACAGAATTCTGCTCAAATGCCTCCTTCAGCTCCTGCAGATGTCTGACATCAGGTACCTGTGTAAAAATGTCGTCAACATACCTGCAGTATATGGCCGGTTTCAAGTTCATGTCGACTAAGACTTTTTGCTCGATGGTACCCATGTAGAAGTTTGCAAACAGGACACCTAGGGGAGAACCCATGGCGACCCCATCTACTTGCTTAGACATGTGTCCATCCGGGCTCAAGAAGGGTGCCTCTTTAGTACAAGCTTGGAGTAGTTTCCTTAGACTGTTTTCTGGAATGTCAAGAGGAGTACAGGCCGGATCACGGTACACTCTGTCGGCTATCATCCCGATTGTTTCATCCACAGGTACGTTGGTAAACAGTTGGTACGTTGTTTACCAACGTACCTGTGGATGAAACAATCGGGATGATAGCCGGCAGAGTGTACCGTGATCCGGCCTGTACTCCTTTTGATATACCAGAAAACAGTCTATATATATATATATATATATATATATATATATATATATATGAGAGAGGAGTTTTGAGAGGAGATTATATGTTCCTTCACGGAGCCCTGTTGTTTGTGCATTGTTAATCGCCTTGAAAGAGACGTAAAATGATGTGAATAATACATTAATATACATGTATATATGATATAATAAAAATGTTTCTAATTTTGTCTTACTTAATTTAACAATTACGGGAAAATCCTCCTGACATAAATATCCAGATGCTGGTATGTTGTTGTAGTGGGTTAGTGAAGGAGGCACCAGAGGCAGCCACTGAGTGAGCTACACTCTCCAGGTCTACAGTGACAACCGTCTCACAACGAATGAATGAACTGAAAGAAGACTTGCATATAATGTCTCTCGGAAATTGTTTCAAACAATGTTCATATTAATTGGTGAGCTTCACTTTCAGTTATAATCCCAAACAGCTTCAGGAGTACCCAATGACCCAGAGTCACTTCTCCCGACCCCAGTTCTCAATATACCGTCTATAACCACAATCTGCAACTTTAAGTAGCAAGCAACAAGCCAATGCTTGCAACCAGCCCCACAGCAACAGAAGCGAGTGTGCCCTTAACGCCAACATTCACCCCCGCAATATTGGGTTCAGTAAAGTCTGGCACACCACAGCTCCTCGCCGCCAGAAAAGAAGGAAACACAATAACAAAAAAGTTCCACTGAACTTTAAACCTGAGGACGCGTTACATGAAAGGTTCTTTGTGTGAAGGTTGCAGGTAAGGTTTTGTCATCATTAGCGTTAAACTTGGACGTGATGTGTTTTGTATGCAACACGTATTTAATATTTATTTTCCACTGGATAACAGGTATTGTTTGGAAGGATTCGCTGGAGCACGACCGACCACGCGCGTTCTACGTCCTGGAAGCAGAGGTAAGAAATAATTATATATAGTTGTAGGCACTTTGTGGTAGGGACTCACAGACGCTGCAGGATACTGCTCGAGCCCCGAGGCTCTTATAGTCTAGCAGGCGGGGACACAGGCGTGTGTACACACCTAGTTGTGCTTGCGGGGGTTGAGCTTCGGTTCTCTGGTCCCGCCTTTCAACTGTCAATCAACTGTTGTACAGATTCCTGAGCCTATTGGCTCAGTAATCTGTACACTGTGTATGGAGTCAGCCTCCAGCACATCACTGCCTAAAGCATTCCATTTATTAACGTCCCTCACATTGAAAAAAATATTTCTAATGTCTCTGTGGCTTATTTTGGTACTTAGTTTCACCTGTATCCCCTTATTCGTGTTCCACCCTTGCTAAATAGCTTGTCTTAATCCACCCTGTCAATTTCTCTTAGAATTTTGTAAGTGGTGACGTCACGCCAATCTGAGACCTCACCCCTCACAGTGCCTCGTTGTCTTCTGTTACTTAGGTACTCCCTTATCCAACGGAGTATCTTCCCTTTCACTCCAGCCTGCATCTCCAGCTTTTTCACTAGCCTCTTGTGTGGTACTGTGTCAAAGGCTTTTAGACAATTCAAAAATATGCAGTCCGCCCACCCTTCTCTTTCTTGCCTAATTTTTGTCACCTGGTCATAGAATTCTATTAAACCTGTGAGACATGATTTACCATCTCTGAACCCACGCTGGTGGTGTGTTACAAAGCTCCTTCTCTTCAGATGTTCTTCGAGACTTTTCCTCACGATCTTCTCCACCCTCTTACATGGTATACAAGTTAGGGAAACTGGCCTGTAGTTCAGTGCCTCTTGCCTGTCACCCTTTTGGTATATTGGGACTACATTAGCTGTCTTCCAGCTAATGTTGTCCCGAGGATATTTTCAATTATTTGACATTCTCAAATTACGGCCTTTTTTGGTCGCAGCGCGAACGAGCGAAAGCATCGTAATTTGTAATAAGAGAGGTTGTGGTGAGGGGTTGTGATGAGGGGTTGTGGTGAGGGGTTGTGGTGAGGGGTTGTGGTGAGAGGTTGTGGTGAGGGGTTGTGGTGAGGGGTTGTGGTGAGGGGTTGTGGTGAGGGGTTGTGGTGAGGGGTTGTGGTGAGGGGTTGTGGTGAGGGGTTGTGGTGAGGGGTTGTGATGAGGGGTTGTGGTGAGGGGTTGTGGTGAGGGGTTGTGGTGAGGGGTTGTGGTGAGGGGTTGTGGTGAGGGGTTGTGGTGAGAGGTTGTGGTGAGGGGTTGTGGTGAGGGGTTGTGGTGAGGGGTTGTGGTGAGGGGTTGTGGTGAGGGGTTGTGGTGAGGGGTTGTGATGAGGGGTTGTGGTGAGGGGTTGTGGTGAGGGGTTGTGGTGAGGGGTTGCAGAGTAGCACGGGCCAAGTGCCTGGCTTGTTTACGTCGCCCAGGTCTCTCTCTCTCACAGCGGCGCCAAAGTCTCTCTCACAGCGTCGCCCAGGTCTCTCTCTCACAGCGTCGCCCAGGTCTCTCTCTCTCCCTCACAGCGTCGCCCAGGTCTCTCTCTCCCTCACAGCGTCGCCCAGGTCTCTCTCTCCCTCACAGCGTCGCCCAGGTCTCTCTCTCCCTCACAGCGTCGCCCAGGTCTCTCTCTCCCTCACAGCGTCGCCCAGGTCTCTCTCTCCCTCACAGCGTCGCCCAGGTCTCTCTCTCCCTCACAGCGTCGCCCAGGTCTCTCTCTCCCTCACAGCGTCGCCCAGGTCTCTCTCTCCCTCACAGCGTCGCCCAGGTCTTTCTCTCCCTCACAGCGTCGCCCAGGTCTCTCTCACAGCATCGCCCAGGTCTCTCTCTCTCTCACAGCGTCGCCCAGGTCTCTCTCTCCCTCACAGCGTCGCCCAGGTCTCTCTCTCCCTCACAGCGTCGCCCAGGTCTCTCCCTCACATCGTTACAATGCTTATTTTTGTTATCAGTGCCAGACATTGATACATTCCCTCCCTCGTCCAGTCACAGCCTTCAACCTTCACTGTTGTTAGGAAATATTACCCATGCAGTGCAATTACCCGCCGCGCGGGTCCTCAGAGCAATTTGTGTCCCAAATAAAGCCGCTCAGACCCCGTCCTGAGGGGAGAGAAGGGTAGTCTCCTGTAAACCAAAATAGGAGGAGGGGATGTAAACATTCCCGCTGCCTCACGGTACAGTAAACATGGCCGCTGCCTCACGGTACAGTAAACATGGCCCCTGCCTCACGGTACAGTAAACATGGCCGCTGCCTCACGGTACAGTAAACATGGCCGCTGCCTCACGGTACAGTAAACATGGCCGCTGCCTCATGGTACAGTAAA